CATAATTGAGAGCATAATGTAAGATTTTTGAAGAATAATCATGACATTTTATGAGCAATGCTGCATCAAATAATTTAAGCATTAGTGAGCATAATCTGCATGAGCCTACCGCACGCTGAACCAAGCACGTGAACGCGCGGAACGTGCACGGGCGTGTGCCTAGAATGCGGATCAACTTCCAAAAATTCAGAATATACACCATAACTTCCCGAGGATCAGTTTTCTTGTTCTTCTATTCCATTCAATCTTTATTTTTTGCAATGTTTAACTGTTTATAAAGTAAAAGCAACTATTTTTAAATGTAATAATTTTAAACTTTGAATGTACGAGATTTCAGTAATGATATCAAAAGCCTTCAGTCATTGGTCATAGAATAGATTATACTGCATCTAGATCTAGTTGCAATGAAATGAGTTACAATCTGCATTGAAAACAAACATATAGTTGTAAAATTTAAACAATAAAAGTTGCCTCACAAATAACAATTATTTTCATTGTGTAAAAACGATTATTATGATATTACCAAAAATATAAAATATTCTATTGGCCAAAAATTGCTACCACCTATCATTTTTATTTGAAAGTATTCCTTTTACGTGATTACAAATACTGCTCTGATTGCATTAAGATATTTAATGTAAGTGTTTATAATGCTTTTATAAGCAACTTAGACTGATAGCAAATCCTTACATCAGTGGCTGGTATCATTATCTCTTAAAAGTTGCTCAAGGAACTAAGATAATTCAGTTTTAGCAATTATCAATGAACAGTATAAAAAGTAGCTAACAAAATTCAAGTTAACCCAACTCTAGTTGCTAATTACTGCAGAGCATAAGATATTTTTATTTGACTTACTTTCAGAGTCATGTTTCCTACATATATCAAGCTTAAAACTATTATAACTTCCCTCTAATCCTGTAGATATTTAAAAAAGCAAGCAATAAAGATAGTAATGTAAAATTAAAAAAAAACTAGTTTAAGTATTAGTCAAAAAATACATCTATAATAATTAATTAATATTTTTAGTATACTGCAACTAGAATCACTGAATAATATTCATACTAAAAAAACACTAACTCCATCATTTATTGACCAAGAGTATTATTGTGGTGTATGAATACTCAGAGTATTATGTTGTATATGTAATTATTATTATTGTTTACATTCCTGTGTGTACTAATTAACTTCCTGTTGTGTGTATATATAAACTCTCATGTTGCTCAGTTGTGTGATCTGTTTTGGTTTGAGTTGTGTTTCTTATCTTGAATAAATATTATAACAAAACACTACAATTATGTACTCTTGTTAAACTGAGTTGTATCTATTCTGACAAAATTTCGGATTTACTACTGACATAGCTATGAAGCAATTAAGCAAGATACAGTACTCTTGATATGAAGCATGCATGCAGCAATCTACAACTTGAAAGACCTCATTTTTAAAACTATATTTGTACATGCATCCCAATGCAAATAAAAATATCTTTGAGAGGAAAAATGATATAGCTAGGTGGTAGCAATTTTTGGCCAATAGAATATTTTATATTTTTGGTAATATCATAATAATCGTTTTTACACAATGAAAATAATTGTTATTTGTGAGGCAACTTTTATTGTTTAAATTTTACAACTATATGTTTGTTTTCAATGCAGATTGTAACTCATTTCATTGCAACTAGATCTAGATGCAGTATAATCTATTCTATGACCAATGACTGAAGGCTTTTGATATCATTACTGAAATCTCGTACATTCAAAGTTTAAAATTATTACATTTAAAAATAGTTGCTTTTACTTTATAAACAGTTAAACATTGCAAAAAATAAAGATTGAATGGAATAGAAGAACAAGAAAACTGATCCTCGGGAAGTTATGGTGTATATTCTGAATTTTTGGAAGTTGATCCGCATTCTAGGCACACGCCCGTGCACGTTCCGCGCGTTCACGTGCTTGGTTCAGCGTGCGGAACGATCCGCAGCAATCCGCACTGATCCGCATTCTAGTAACGCCCAACACATTCACGGAAACAAACTCACGACGCACGCTCTGTTGATTGCAGTTCCGTTCGAATGGAGCGTGCTGCGTGAGTATCTTTCCGTGAATGTGTTTATTAGGCACGTGATCCTCACGCATACGCACTGCACTGGGTGACGCATTTTCGAACGGAACTGCAATCAACAGTACTGTTGATTGCAGTTCCGTTCGATCTCGTTGTACTGTAAAACATGGCGGCCTATAGTTCTGACTTTAAACACCTTTTCTCCAATCTGGGGCAGAGTTAGTAAGTGTTATTTGGGTAGAAGAAGGATATTATTGTGTTACACTGATGGTCTGTAACTACTAGCTTTCCACTGCAGTTTTATAAAATAGAAATATATCCATTTTTTAGTTTATTAATAGTCTCTTTTGTAAACGCCTTTTCTGGAAAACTATGCGATTTGAAGAGGTATAATTTTGTATGTGTCTACGTACATGCCTTTTGTACGGTTTGTATATTTTCATAATTATTTTAAAGCTATGTTTCTTCAAAAAAAGTTACTTAATGTCATTGTGATATACCATATTAGAATCAGTGGCGGAGCTGAACCCGGGCCCACACGGGCCTAGGCCCGGGCATCAAAGCTCTGTAATGAGATTCATTGGATGCAATGTAAACAATTCCTTGCCTAAAGTTTAGATAAAGCAAACCACAAGCCT